TTCCTAAGGAGGGTGAGTCTCTCCGTTGCAACACCCCAGTCCCGGCATCCATCCCCCACGTCACCTTCATCCCCACAAGCCTGCAGACCCACAGCTGGGGACAGGTCGCCAACCCATCACGTTTATTTCCCCCCTTTTTTCCCCCCCCTGCCCCCCCCCCCCGCAAGTTTGGAGAAGTTATGTCCTCCGGTCAACACATCTCCATCATCAGCTCCAAACGACGGGTTCGGATTGTTTCCTTGCAGGAAGCTTTTCACGTTTTCGAATATTCCTCGGGCGAATATTCCTAATGCAACCCAAAGAAATCACATCATAGGTTTTGGTCACATCACATTGTCACGCACGTTTTGATCTGCGTCCAAGGTGACAGCAGTCACGGAGAAAATACCTTTTTTCCGCCCCCACCGAGGAAATTTTGAATCGTTTTCACGGCTGCAAGGAGCGGTGACACCTTTTTGGCAACAGGTTAAGATTCAGCTTTTGGGAGATGTATCGTCTACCTCAAAAAATAGCAGTTATTAATTTGCAGACATAAGCAACTGCTCTACATTCATGACCGTGGGTCAAACCATCATCAAACTCGTTTCCACACCACCTGACTCCACCCCAGTTTCTGTTTATACTTTCCCTAGCAATAAAAAAAGTTATTTATTTATCATGTGGGGGTTTTTTTGTTTGTTTTTGTTCTTACCCGCCGTAATACAACGTTCACGTTCTCAAGTCGTGTCTCGGGTCCTTGTGTGACCTTGGCTGCCACCTGCTCCGCTGCTGACAGCGAGGTCTCCAGCGGTGACCGCCGCCTTTACCGCCACGTGACACGTCGGCGCCACGCGGAGCTGTGAAACTCCTTCCTCCTTCAACCTGAACCGGTGTGGGTTTGGGTGGGAACGTGGTCACGGCGATGGCTGTGACTCCAACTAACAAAGAAGAGTAAAAAACCACCAAGATTGACTTTCAGACCGCAGTCCTTCTCCCCGCGCTGCGTTGCACCTGACCCAAAAAATGTTATTTTGGCCTATTTTTAACTAGATGGATGAGGGTCTGTCCAGGTCCTACAATGGCTTGGATCTCCTATGGGTAGGAAATGAAAAAGATATTTCGAAAATACTTTGAAAGTGAATTTTAAATGCTTTTTTTAAAATTTTTATTTTGCTTTTCCATGGGAGCGCAATCCTCGGGTGGCAATGACGTCAAGACGCAGCTAGCCACCAAAATGGAAATTTCTTGGCCTAAGTTGTTGTTAGGGAATGAAAACTCCTGGTTTCGGATGCCCCGAACCTTCTCCAGGCTGACCGTGACCCGACCCACCGCTCGGGGTTCTGCCAAGCCCGGGGGGGGAAGCTGCCGTTTATTTGTGTGGTGAATAACGAAAACAAAATAAAAATAAAAATAACTAAAAAAAAAAAAAAAAATAAAAAAAAAAAAAACTAAAAAAAAAAAAAAAAATAAAAAAAAAAAAAACTAAAAAAAAAAAAAAAAATAAAAAAAAAAAAAACTAAAAAAAAAAAAAAAAATAAAAAAAAAAAAAACTAAAAAAAAAAAAAAAAATAAAAAAAAAAAAAACTAAAAAAAAAAAAAAAAATAAAAAAAAAAAAAACTAAAAAAAAAAAAAAAAATAAAAAAAAAAAAAACTAAAAAAAAAAAAAAAAATAAAAAAAAAAAAAACTAAAAAAAAAAAAAGACTTGAAGATGTCGTCGGTGTCAGCAGGATCGTTTAGTAATTGGGTAATTAAGCAAGCGAGAGCACGTGGGAGCTTCTGGCCGCAGGTCAACGCGCTCTTTGCCCAGGGAGGAGTCCTGGACTCCAACCCCTGCGTCAGGGCTCTCGGCACATTCTTTTCTTTTAACAGAAAAATGCGAAACTCACCCCAAAAGCACCTGCCCCCGCCCGCCGGGTGAGCGCCGTAGGGGCAGCGGTGGAGGAATCGTTCCTCCTTTCCTTCCTCGGTGTTTTTTTTTGGGGGGGAGGGAGCTTCTGGATTTGCCTTTTCAAGGAGAATTGATTTTGGTAATGGGATTTTTCAGGTTTTTTTTAATTTTTTTTTCTCCCCCCGCCTCCCCCCTTGCATGCCGATCTGTTGTTTCGGGGTGAAAGAGACAGATTTTGGGGGTGGACACATCGTTCCCAATGGCTGATTTTGGTTTGAGGGTGGAGTTGGATTTGGAGAGGTCTCAGGAGCCTTCGCTGAGCCGGAACCGATTTTCTTACTTTCGTGGATTTGCCCAAATTCCTTTGTCATCACCTTCCTGATTTTCAGGACATCTTTGGCTTTCAATTCCTGCAAAAAAAACCCTCTTGATTTTATGGCATTTTCACTCATTTTCACAATCCCCGACAGTTTCATTCCGGCAGTCCGATTCGGCGGCACCACCGCTGGCCGAAAACCCGTGCTAAATCCGCGGCAGCGGAAACGTGAAGTCGGGGAAAGACCGATTTTTGGTGTCGGAGAACACTGCGGAATCAGCAAAACGAAGCTGTAAATCTTCAGGGAGGAAAAAAAAAAAAAAAAAATAAAGAAAAAAAAACCCCCAACCAATGCCCAGCGAGGTGTGCGGCTGCCATTGGTGGACTTCGTTAGCTAACGAGGCGCTCGGCTGATAACAGGATGGAATAAAACATGGATTTAGGGCCGAGCGCAGCAGCTGGAGACGGAGGGCGGAAGGGCCGTAAGGTACGTCGTATAATTGACCGGATCCCCTTTTTTCTAGAAATTTTATCCCGACTGCTGCCTGAGGGTCGAAGAGGTGTTTATAAATCGAACGTCTTTATTTTTAATAGGGAAATACTCGGGGAGGAATGAACGGAAAATGGAACGTCGAGGGTGGTTTGGGAAGGGTGCTGTGGGCAATAAAACCAATAATATAAATATAAATATAAATATAAATATAAATATAAATATAAATATAAATATAAATATAAATAAATATAGATATAGATATGAATAGAAATAGAAATATAGATATGAATAGAAATAGAAATATATATAAATAGAAACAGAAACAGAAATATAAACATAAATAGAAATATGAAAAAGTAAAATTAAAATTCAAACGAAATGTAAAATTAAAACTAAAACTAAAATTAAAAATAATATGTAATTGATAATAATGCAGGATATATAACCGGTGTAGTAATTATATTTTCATTACTATATTAATTATGTTATTATTGATAATAAAAAATAATGACTTTTTAACATGTATTATTTACTGCTGATTATAATTGTCATCCTTATCATTATTACTTCGGGTTTTTCCCCCCAAAATGAATATTAGTTTTAGGGCTCCTGGTCAATATTCCCCCGCTATGAGAGGCACTCTCAGAGCCGCTCTGTTCTTTAGTGGTTAAAATGTTTTGGGTTTTTTTTTTCACGTTCATGTTGTTTTTTGGGGCACGCGAGGCTTAAGCTCTTCTTTTTATGAACAACTTTTTCTTCTCTTTTACAAACAACTAATTCTGTTAATAGCTTTTTGTTGTTGTTGTTCTTTAATAAGGGCATTTGGTATCCTGCTTTATACAACAGGAGGATTTTTTTGTTTGTTTTCTTGGAAAAAATAAAACTTGCAAAACCCAAATGCGCCGATCAGTTCGTTTTTAGTTCTGGAGTTTCAGTCAAATGAAAATAAAATAAATAAATAAATAAATAAATAAAAATCCATAATGAGAGTTGGATGCGAACGCTGCTTTGTGCCTCGTTAAAAAGAGGAAAAGCAACACCTCCGTGATGACTAACGGCATCAGCGATGTCACTGGAATTCTTCTAAATATAGGAATTATTGCGCCGAACCCCGTGTGCGTGCGGGAGGGGATGGGATATCAGCCTGGAATCGTTCCTAGTTTTTCCCCAAATTGTCGGGTTTGGTTTCCTCACGCGATGGGGTTTTTTCCGGCTGCAGATGGCCAAGAAATTCAGCGGTTTGGAAATTACGTTGATCGTCCTCTTCTGCTTGGTTGTGGCCGTGGCTTGTGTCCTCATCGGGCTTTTGGCGACGAGGGAAACCGTGTCCAAAAGCGATGGTAAGCGCTAAGAAACGTCCGGGTTTGAGGTAAAACGAGACCAATTTTTTGCTCAGTAGTTTTACTTTTTGTCTCCCCGGAGAGAGAGGTGGGGGAGAGGGTCTGTCCTTCAGTGGTGGGCTCAGTGGCCGGTCCGGCCAAAACCCACGGTGATATATACAAATATTTAAAATATAAATAATGATGTAATAAAAATATTTAGGGGGAAAAAAAAATAATGGTATGCTTATAACATTATATATTTAAATATTTAAAAATTACCATCAGAGAATAAAATAATGTAAAAAATCAACATAGTATAATAATGGAATATAAAAAGATTTAGGATAATCTATAACGGTATAATAAATAATACGTAAAATAGATATTAAAACATATATTTTGATGAAGATTATATATAGAAATGTGGAAGACAGAAAAATAGATTTACAGCTAATATATACAAATATAATAAATTAGTTAAAAATACATATATCATGTATAATTTATAACTTATTTATATAAAATATGTATTAAAATATATATCCATATAAAAATTATATTTATAATTTATAACTTATTTATATAAAATATGTATTAAAATATATATCCGGATAAAAATTATATTAAAAATTTTATAATTCATTAAAAAAAAGACTTACACCTGAAATATATTTAAAATAAATTAGATTTAAATACATATACAATTTATAATTTATTTATATAACAGATATCAAAATTTATATTTAAATGTAATGGATAAAAATAAAATTGAAGAGAATTCGGTTATATGCTGCCGCCCTTGGACACTGCCCCCGGTTCTGACGAGGATTGGTTTAACGACCCTTTGTCATCGGGGTCTTCAACATTGTGGAAAATCACTGATCCCACCCCCAAAAAAAACCCAGAATAAGCGTTTTCTCTTTTGCCCTCAGCTGAATTTCATATGGGTCTTTACGTTCCTCCGATTTCATCGTTAACCCCGGGTAACCCGGGGCTAACGATGCCGGTAACGAGGTGATGTTGAACCGTGGGTATAAATGGGGTGATGTAAACTTTATCCCCCCTATTAAACCTCCATGTCCTTTTAATTCATTGGCATCCTTTTAATTCATTGGCAAATTGGTAAAAAAGGAGGATTTCCATATTTTTCTTTTTTTAATTTAAAGCATCATTTAGAAGCCAGAGGGAAAAGCTTTGTTGTACCACAACAAACTGATAAACTGTAAAAAAGGGAAATAGCTTTACTCTTTCATTACATCAAAAATCGCTTGGCTTGCAGACACTCTTGGGTCTAAAATTTGAGGAGGGGGGGGGGAGAAATGAAGTTTTTCCCTCTTTATTTGGAGAAGTTGCGTGCAATTTTACAAAACGAGGGAGTTGAGGCTCGTTGGAAGTGGTTGGAGGCATCCGAGATGGTGAGAAATGACTCGGGGAGGAGGGGATCGTTAAAAGGGTATAAAATGCTACTAATAATCTGCAGAATTTAAATTATAGAGATGAATTTCTTCATTTCTCTGACTCGCAGAATATGCCCCAAACTGCCCGAAACTGGAAATAGCCGAGCGCATCGACTGCATCCCCGACCAAGTCGCCACCAAGGTCTGAAAACATGAGAAAAAGGAGGGGAAAAAAATTCCACTTTTTTTAGCCTAAAACCAACAGGATAAATTACTCCCATTTGATAACAAAAGAAATTACCTTGTTTGTACCAAAACAAGGTTTTCTTAACTGTTTTTCAACCGGCAAATGCCTGAATATTGAATATGACACAATACAAGATGACACGATATGATAGAATAGAATATGATACAATATAATACATTATATATATGATATTAGATATAAAAAAGTATTTTTTGGGTAGACTCTGCTTCTTTCTTGGTGCTGGGCATGAAGATATTGACTATAAAATGCACAAACTATAAAAGCTTTATATATTTATATTAACAAGTATCTTTATATGTATAAGTATATATTAAAAAAAGCATCTAGCTATATGAAAGTATATATAATTATATATAAATAGATATAAAATATATACAAATAGATAATAAATAGTTAATAGATTACAAATAGTAAATATAATTCAATATATAACAAATAAATAATAATATAATTAATATTCTATAATGCAATAGAATATATTATAGCGTATTATATTTTTATAGCTATTTTAGACAGATGTTTTTATTAATATAAAACTTATGTATTTTTAATAGACTAATATCATCATATAGTTGATAATACAAATATATATATAGTTTAGATACAATATAATCTATGATAGAAAATAGAAAATACAAAATACAATTATAATAAGTAATACGTAATAATAATAAGTAATACGTAATATGTAATACGTAATAAAATACATAATATATTAAGTCTATTATAGTATATAACATAATATAATATGATGTAATGTTATATAATATATAATATAATTAATATATAATTAATATAATATATAATGTATAATAT